TGCATGATGCAATACAGATTGCACAAGTGGAAATTTCTGTTAATGTATTAACTTTCAAGATCTGTTTGGTAATTCTCCCTTTTAGCAGCTAGAAATTTCCTTTTAAATTAAGTACGAGAGTTTGCACTTAGATCAAGATAACTTCTACATGATAGGTTTGAGTTTTCTCTTTACCTGTTTGCTAGATAATGTTGGATGTTATAGGGAGAATTTACATGTTAACCACATTTGGGATTCAAGGGGTTAAATGACAGTTTTGTCAAAGTCCTTTTAATGACTGTCATCCACCTTGAAGTACATGAATGGTGACAGGAAGGAACATGTTTCTTTAAGTTTTGGTGCTCACAAATTTTCATGTTTTGCAGGATTAGTAGAGTAGTATGAGTTACTAAGGAAATTGTCATGAGCATATATATCTGTGCATGTCTGTGACTTTCCTCCCAGTGACCTTCACTTGTTTAAGTAGTTATTAATGATAACAGAGGCACTCAAATTGAAAAAATACAGATGTGTCATGCTGCACTATTTTATTCTAAATGGAATTTTTAAAATTCATATTTTTCTTCTGCTTGGAAACTGCTTGAAAACTGTGAAACATTATTGAACAAGGAAATTCTTGCATTAAAAACTAGTCTGCTGGTTGAAAAAAAGAGCACTCGGTTTTCTATAAATAATTTCCAACAGCAACATTTTTATGAAGACTCTTTCCATAAGGGAATGTTGCACAACTCTGTCAGAAAATGTTACATTACATGATATTAAAAATGGAGGAATAAAATGATTATCAACAGTTAGACACCAAAGTTGAGGGGAATAACTGTGTTTGTGCATACCACACAGAAACCCAAAAATTAGTTTATTTCTGTCAGTGTTTGAACCAGCCTATCGGTGCAAGGGGAAAACACCATATGCCTGTGTGGTATACAAACTAATTATATCTTTAACTCCCAAGATCTCGTTAGTAATTCTCCTTACTGTCTGCCATATAGTTTTGTAGTATTAGTTTGGCGAATTTGGTATTGGATCAACTAATAATCTCCTAGTTAATGTTTTTCTTTATTCTTTTCACTTGTCTGCTTGATATTGTAAGGAGAAATTCAGTCTTGGTCACTCATGGGAGTTAAAGGATTAACTTGCAAAAGAGATTGCAGATGTAAAGGCCATCAACTCCTATTGAAACTTCAAGAATTGTTGGTGGCTTGACTTGAGATCTGCATGACATAACTAAGACAAGTAAGGCTATCATTAAAGGTGTGTAAAAACAACAGTATTCTACTTAAACAGATAAGTATACATTAAACCTATTCACTATGTTTGAAAATCTTGTACCATAATGTACAATCATAAAGTAAAGACTTAACCTTTTTTATCCTTTTTCAAACTTGTACTTTCTGTTATTAATTATTGCTGATTTTGAGACAAGAACTACAGTTTGCCTCCAAAATGAATTTTCTACAAGTAAAAGAGATATTGGGGGATGGTTTCATAAACTGAAAGACCTGTCAGCGAATAAAGGTATCTTTCACAAGAAGGGCAGAGCATCTTGGCAGGAAAAATGATTGGTTGTAACAGTAAGTCTAAGTAAAGATTCAAATTTTGCCCCTTTTTTTATGCTCAATTTTTATGGTATGGAAGTAATGTAGGAGGTTTATTTTGCCACAAGGGTAAAGCTAGAGAATAGGAGAAGGGGACCAGAGTTCAAATAACCCTGTTTTTCAAGGAAGCCATCATTTGTAATGTAATGTTAAACAAAAAAAAAAAGCCTTGCCCCACCATCCCCTCTCCTCCAAAATTCCCTTACCCGTTGGTACGTGTAGAATGTTCAGTTCACTTGGGTTACATAGGGTAGCTAGAATGTTCATAGTCTGACTGGTTAGAGATTAAAGATACAACAGACATCTTTATCCTTCTTAAGAGCTAAATTATTTTTTCATATTTAAAGTGAGACTTGTTTGTATTGGTATTATTAGAAATGCTGTCACAACAAATTAAAGACTACATCACCATTTATTTTTTTTCTTCAAAAAATCTCTTTGATAAATTGAGCTTCAGTCAAGTTAACCCTTTAACTCCCAGAAGTGATTAACATGCAAGTTCTCCCTGTGGTATTCGTACATTATCCAGGACACTGGTGGTGAGAATACTCAGATTGGTCCACTATGAGATATTATATTGATCCAACACCAAATTATCATAACAAATTTACAAGAAATCATAGCAACCAGAGGGGAGAATTGATAATCCAATCTTGGGAGTTAAAGAGTTAAGGCACATCCATTGTTATCTGAGTTGGCCCCAATTAAAGCCACAACTGACTTCATACTGTAAATTATAAAGTTGATCTTGACATTTCATGTCTATTTTTTGAAGTATGACTTACATTTTGGTATATATGCTTTTTGCCCTGCTAAATTGTGTTTTTTGTCTTAACTGTAATACTCTTGCCAAAGGGATATTAGATCTTGCACAAGCACTTCGAAGAGAAAAATACCCCAAAGGATACCCAGAAGTCTACCTTAGGTTTGAGGGAAGATTTAACTCAGAACAGAAATCCTTCCTCAGATTTAACTGTGGTTATACTCTTGGGGCTGTTAAAGATTTCAAATCTTTTCCCACCACTAAGGCTCATGTCTTGTCCATGACTCGCTTTGATTATATTTTGGAACAAAGCTGTCATAAATTAAAGGTTGAGTTTGCTCTTTTTGTGAGTAACATCTGATTCTAGAAAATTAAGCTTTTGAAATTATCTTCATCTTGTCATTGTTCCTACTTGTACCTACTACTATCATTATATAATATTCATTTTCTCAGCTGATGGCATCAACTAACCAAGTGATAGATTACCATATGTAACAAATTTAAGCTGAAATATATGGAATCTAGAGCTAGGACAAGTACTGCAATAATTTGCAAAGTATTGTAAAATGTGTGCTAGATTTATTTCATTGGAATAAATGTTTTATTTATTCAGATGTTATATTGTGCTAGGAAATGCGGTAGATTTATTTCATTGCAATAAATATTTCATTAACCCAGAATACTTGTCATATCATGTGCCATGAAAAAAAATAATTTTCCTGAGTCAAAGTAATGGTGACATCACCAACTGCGAGTTAACCAGTTGGAGCAGTTATGTTGGAAAAGGAAATGAATTAATTTCATCTTCACTTCTAATTGGCCTGTTCTTTATGGTAAACAACACTTCAGAAACATTTGGGTTTTCTTACTTTTCTGAAATCCACAGAAGCAATTTTCCAACGAGAGGGCATTTTGAATGCTTCAAGAATAGTGATGGGGAGGGAGAAAAGAACAGTGTAGCAGAGATGAGAAAGACATCAGGGTGAATAGAAGAAGCAAAATTGTAAAGTTGACATTCTTTTACGAGTCATCTTCAGTGTTTCATTAATGAATGGAGAGAGGAAATTACATTTGAGAGAGAGGCAGAACAGTAGGGTACAACAAGCTGGAGATTATGATATCCCCTTCCCCATTCTACTGCTGTGTTGTTGGGCTATCAAAAAGAAAACAACTTGAAAAATTAATCATTATTTGCCAAAGGCAAAGTGAATATATTTGAATACAGGTGATCTCTCACATGAAGTCTAGGGGATTATTCAACAATATTCACTAACCCTAAGACAAATAATTGTTATAGTATAATTACTCAGGTGCTTTTGAATTCTGTGACAACTTCATTTTCATGATGAAACCATTCTGTTCCAATTGTTTTGGTTATACTTGTATCGAGATAAGCAGCCAGTCTCCATTAAAACTTAACAGGTTGATTTAATTCCATCAGCAAAAACTTCATATCTTTCTTTTAAGTGTCACACCAAACTTAGTAGAATCTTTTGCGCTCTTGGGTATTGAATCTTCTTCAATCAATTTTATGACTTTCTTGGTAACAGTGACAAAAAGAGGGGCTGCTACTTTGAAATTTGGCGCCATTGCTATAATCACCTCGTGTCAGGTGATTATAGCAAAACGTAATGCAATCTTCAACCAATCAGAATGTGCACATCTCCACAATCACCAGAACGATTATACTATCCACAATGCACAATTGACTAATATTTCCTGAATGCATTATAGAACATGTGATTTAGGAAATAATTACTCATGCTTTTTCACAACAAATTGCACTAAAAATCATTTAGTATACTTTATTAATCAGCAGTCTGAATGCTTACTACCTTGAATTAAATGCACAATTTAGCTGAAAGAATTTCGAATTCCAAACAAAAGTTGTTTACCAAATCGCAGATGTAATTAACCTTTGTATACCTTTTGAGTTTATGCTAACTCTGTATAACAGAGAACACAACGAAACCTTATATAACACTGCTGTCAACAAAACTTAGATTAGTTAATTTACTGGAAGAAAAATAGATGAATGTCAAAATTAGCGAGCACGCATAGTATGGTGAGAGAAACACAGTTTGTAATAACGTCACGCATTCAGCACAATTAAAGATAATAACACAGCCCAGCCAGTAAAATCACTGTCAAAGATTGAACGGCAACCTTTGATCCCGATGATTTCGTGGAAAGCATGTCTTCAGCGTGTTTACGAGCGACCCTCTCGTTGAAATTTGTTGTACCATTCGGCCACAGTGTCATGCAATCTATGCCTAATTCCCCTTTAGTGTACTTCCATGAGTAGTCAAAAAGTTTCTCGCAGAATTTCTTGGCATTATCAAAATATTCCTTAAACGTTTTGCACTCAAACTTACACATGCCGCTTGTCCAGTTCCATGTTTTGAAGTCTCCCCAGTTGTCTGAGCAGGTGAGGTCGTCTTTGCAGGCATCAAACCATGCATCGCAGTCCTCGCTGCATATCGGCACCTCTTGAAAGCGTTCTTTGCGGGTCTTCTTAGAATTGGGGTCCACAACGATCCATGGTTTCATGTTTGGCGAGCATTCGTACATACAAGTGTCGACCTCGAAATATCTACGGCACTGAGGCGACATTTTTCTACCGCACTGATCCCAGTGCATGTTATACAGCGAGAGAGTTCCGTCTTTTCGAATGCTGTCGGTTGTATTCGACGTGCAACAAGCGTGGTTCTTCCACGGGGTGCAATGAAACGTCGTATTAAAAAAATCACTTTCCGGTCCTGGTTTTTCTTTGTGGTATTTAGAATCGATGCAGATATCAAGAAATTCGTCAATCTCCTTGTCGGTTACCGCCATGGTAGACACGATCAGGCAGGACAAGACTAGTAACGCATAGAAATCATCTGCCATGTTCAGCACGTGCTGCCGAAATTAATGAATTTCAAAGATTAGAAACATCGACAGCTGCCAACATCCGGATTCAAAACTAGCTAGAGCAAAATGTAAGTATTTCCTTCACGTGATGAAGCATAACGTACCTTTCCCTTACCCTAAACAACAATCACAGTCAACGACGCAGTTGCATCAGAACGTAAGAGAATCGAGGTACCAGTTTATACGTCGGCTCCACCAATCAGCGATCACTCTCACAGCAGGCCCACGGTGCACTGGAAAATGCCACTTGGTCTAAACATGACTGAAATATCACAGTCCGCCGATCTAACAAAAGTAATATTTTAACTGATTTCTTTGCTTCTCTCTACAGCATTACCTTAACGTGTCTGTGGAGGAACACCCATAAAAATAGGATTATCCAAAAATAACAAAAATACTCTTTGTTTTATCGCCTTGCTGGCTAATCTTTGACGCTGGATAGCGATGTTGCATTTCACTAGCTATGACCCCCTGGCAGTTACAGTAACGCCACACCCAAACCCCAGAGGACAGAAGTGTAAAGCATGTATTACTCACATTCAAAGGGAGGGGCAGAATTTTCAATTTGTGATCATTACAACCCTCATAATCCAACTCACTATTGGCAAAAACGAAAAAAAAAAACATATAATGAGATGGAATAAACAAACACGCAGAACTCAATCCCCCATATTTAAACTATCTTTTCAATGATTTAACGATCAGATGGGCAAAATGGACATGGGGCCCGTTTGTTATCAATCAAACTTGTGACACCGGGGTGAATTTACACTTCCTCGTAGTGATCTTTGCTCCTTCCCAGGGGAGTGTTTTGTTAACCATAAGGTTATTTTGTCTATTCGATCTTTCGTCGCAAAATTCGAAAGATCCATATAGTCAAATGAATCAATATATTCCTGATTTTGCTCTCCTCACAAATCACTTGTAATTTATGTTTGAGGAGAAGATACAGAAGCAAAAGCTTTCATTTAAATAATTCAGTTTCCTTCACAGCTACTTCGGTTTTGAGTAAATACAATTCACAGTCCATCGGCCACTTTGATCCTCTCCTCAAGCAACATAGTACTTAATACAGATACAAAATACCGGCTCAGTCCCATGGTCCTCGGCTCCTAGTGATGGTATCGTAAATCAAAACTGAGATACGCCATTCACTCAGTGCTACTTAACCATTCAAAAATGTCCATGGATTTAAATGAAGTACCCTTTTTCGATTGGCTGTTTGAAGAAGTTCATAGAAACTTGTTTTAAATTTACTTTACTGGTCGCCTTTACATATTTCTAATATCATACTATTTCTTTTTTAAATTAAATGAATTTTCGAAAGGAAGTTGTGTTGTGGCATACCTTTCCGATGTACAAAGGAAATATCACGGAGGAGGGGTAGGTGGGCAGTTGCCCAGATACTGATATTGATCCAGTATCATCATGTCCCCGAGCATGTTTTAAAGCCCGAAAAGGGAGTACGCTAAATCGTGAAGATTGAAGCTCCATTAGAAGTTTTAGAGATCCAGGTTACGTGGGAGAAAAATCACGGCCAGTCAGTCATGGCCTGCGGGGGTCGGAGGATTTTGTTTGTGTCACCCCCCCTCCCCCCCCCATCTGTTCCCCTTGAACCCCACAGGCGATAGATAATGATTGATCCCAGCCTGGTGATATTCAGATCTTACCAATGGAATAGATAACAACGATATCCGACTTTTGATCGTATGGTCTGATCGTCTGGGTGAGGGTGTCCTGAGTTGGACGGTTGTCGGTAATGGTGACCGACTCGTTCAAAGAGTCCTCCCCCCCCCC